TTTGCCCAGGCTGGAGTGCAATGGTGCAACCTCGGCTCACTGCAGTTTCCACCTCCTGGGTTCAAGCGATTCTCCTGCCTCAGCCTCCCGAGTAGCTGGAATTACAGGCACCCACCACCACGCCCAGCTAGTTTTGTATTTTTAGTAGAGATGGGGTTTCACCACATTGGCCAGGCTGGTCTCAAACTCCTGACCTCAGGTGATCTGCTCGCCTCAGCCTCCCAAAGTGATGGTATTACAGGGGTGAGCCGCCGTGCCTGGCCTAGGCTATTACACTTTCTGTAAAGGACTTTTGCTGCTTTTCTCTTGGCCTGAAACCTGATGAACTGGGAGGACGAATAACAGTGACCAGGAGCAATGAGCCCTTGCTAACTGAGAGGTAGAAGTACCCAGGTTGCAAGAGAATATCTTTTTTTCTTAGGCTTCCTCATCTTTTCTCAGTCTCAGTTTCTCTATATGCTCAAGTACAAGTTTGTACACTGAAGATGACAATGCTAAAAAAAAAAAGTTTCCTAATAGCTATGTTTTATTAAGTGGAGTTGACAATAAGTTATCTGAAGATAAATTATGATAATTCAACAACAATAAGGTGTGCTTTTTTTTTTTTTTTTTTTGGAGACGGAGTCTCACTCTGCCAGCAGGCTGGAGTGCAGTGGCGTGATCTCGGCTCACTGCAACCTCTGCCTCCCGGGTTCAAGCGATTCTCTTGCCTCAGCCTCCCAAGTAGCTGGGACTACAGGTGTGTGCTACCACGCTGGGGTAATTTTTGTATTTTCAGTAGACATGGAGTTTTATCATGTTGGCCAGGATGGCCTTGATCTTCTGACTTCATGATCTGCCTGCTTCAGCCTCCCAAATTCTGGGATTACAGGCATGAGCATGAGCCACCATGCCTGGCTTCTTCTTTTTTTTTTTTTTTTAAACAGCGTCTCACTTTGTCGCCCAGGCTGGAGTGCAGTGGCACGATCTCAGCTCAATGCAACTTCCATCTCTTGGGTTCAAGCGATTCTCCTGCCTCAGCCTTCCAAGTAGCTGGGATTACAGGCACACGCTGCTGTGCCTGGCTAATTTTTGTATTTTTAGTAGAGAAAGGGTTTTGCCATGTTGGCCAGGCTGTAAGGTATGCTTCTTAAGTGCCTTAAATTATCAGAGGATCGGGTCGGGCGCGGTGGCTCAAGCCTGTAATCCCAGCACTTTGGGAGGCCGAGGCGGGTGGATCACAAGGTCAAGAGATCGAGACCATCCTGGTCAACATGGTGAAACCCCGTCTCTACTAAAAATACAAAAAATTAGCTGGGCATGGTGGCGCGTGCCTGTAATCCCAGCTGCTCAGGAGGCTGAGGCAGGAGAATTGCTTGAACCCAGGAGGCGGAGGTTGCGGTGAGCCAAGATCGCGCCATTGCACTCCAGCCTGGGTAACAAGAGCAAAACTCCATCTCAAAAAAAAAAAAAAAAAAAAATTATCAGAGGATCTAAAAAGTAGTCAACAAAATCAAATCAGGAATTACAGGATGAATCCGCAGTAGTACTTATGGAAGATCAATTCCTGCTGAAGGAACAGAGACATAAGAAAGAACCGACTGCTAAATGTCCAAGCATTACAAGTCATTAATGTCACTTTGATCACGACTGAGGGATCTAGACCTTTCTTTAAAACACCAAACACTTATTTTTCCTCACTCCATTCCCAAAAGTAATTTGGTTCTGCTGAAAATGATGAAGCTTATCTTTTCCTTTTTTAAAGGTATATTTGTTGCCTACTGCCACACCCAGTCCAATTATAACACTGTTTCCCACACCTTTTTTTTTTTTAAGTTCTTAAATTTTTATTTTTTAGAGATGGCGTCTCACTCTGTCGCCGAGGCTGCAGTGCAGTGGCACAATCAGCCCTTACTACAGCCTCGAACTTCTGGGCTCAAGCGATCCTCCTGTCTCAGCCTCCCATGCAGCTGGGACTATAGATGCACCACTGTGCCTGGCTGGTTTCCCAAACCTTCTTTTTTAAAAATTGTTTTTAATTTTTAAAAAATGGGCTCTCGCCACGTTGCCCAAGCTGGTCTCAAACTCCTGGCTCCACGATCCTCCTGTCTCAGCCTCCCAAAGTGTTGGCATTACAGGCAAGAGCCAACACACCCAGCCCCCAAATCCTCTTTGTTGTTACCATCATCTAGGATAACGCCTCTGGATGACTCTTCAGGTGAGGTAAGGGATTGGTAATCTTTAAACAAATGTGCAAGGGCACACTTATAAATAGAAAGATTTGAAGAAAACTGCATTAACAAGTACATAATAAATTATCCAGAAAAAGTAGAAAAGAGAGAGAAATCCCCAGCTCTATACCACTGTGAACATGTGGCTATATTTTCTTTACATATTTTCTTTTTTCTATGCATAATAATTATGTTTATATGGTTATGATCAATTACATATTCAATTTTGAAATCTGCTTTTACCTCCTCACACAAAAACATATAAGCCAGACCATAATATTCAAAGCCATTAATAATCTTAAAAAACAAGCATAAGTCCTTTATGGGGATATTTATTCACTTAATTCTACCCAGTCCCCTTATTGTATGTTTGTGATTTTCTTTTAACAAAAGAAACTTTAAACAAAAGAGTGTCTATGTAGCTGTTGACTTTGAACAGTTAACAGTTACATAAATGAATCCAGAACATGTGGTTACCGATCTACAAATAAGCTATTAAGTAAAAAAAAAAAAAAAAAAAAAAAAAAACAAGGAAAATACTTACTATGCACCAGATGACAAAGGAAATTTCAAACTTGTGAGGAAAACTAAAAATGGACAGGCCAAGAAATGCAAACACACATGTTTCTGAAACAAACCAAAGAATGGATTACTCAACCCCCATGATTTCATTCCAGTATGGTACTAAATTGTTAAGCAAGCATTCACAGTCAGAATCCAATACAACACTTTCCGTATTTTCTTGTAAATCCTGAGCCAATATCTTGGTCAAACTTGTGCTTAAAGTCTCTCATTCTTTTCTTTGTGTGTGTGTGTGTGTGTGTGTGTGTGTGTGTGTGTGTGTGTGTGTGTGTGTGTGTGTGTGTGTTATGGTTTTTATTCTTTTAGTTCTCTCATTCTTTTCTATTACACAAGCAACATGTCCCTGGTATTCAGAAATCTCCTAATGTAATCCAGTCAACTGTCAAATACTTCTGCAAATAAACATGATCCCACCCAGGGAAGATGATAAACACATGAATCTGTCAATCTGCTGAACACTGTCATTAGCCAGGGTCCCGACTGTGACAAAGTGGCAAAAATTCAGAGCAAATGACTGCAGGCGCCACAGGACAAATGTGAAGGGGCCTCTGGTTAACTTCCACATGATTAGCTTAATGTATTTAATGCTGTCACAAGGTTTAGTACACAGCTCACACCCAGCAGGATTTGCAGAGTGAGACGCAATGCTAACTCTTGGCTCCATTCTGCAAGCCAAAGAGAGTCCAATATTTACTCTCTGCCACACAAACTTGTATATTTTAAGGAAAAGTACCTTATAAATTTCTAACACTAGGCTCTCTGCTTAAACTGTGATGTTCCTCAGAATAACATAATGACTAGAGAGATTAAAACTGTATTTTAAAATAGTTGATCATAAACAGCAAGACTGTTTTACATTCCAGCAATGTTTTTCCTTTGAATGGTACCCAAGTTTAAAACAAGTAACAAGTCCACAAGCTAGACAGTTTAATCACCCTTCTCTTTGAAACTTTCTTCTTATCTCATATTCATGTGATCTTTCCAAATGAGCACATTTAGAAGACATTCAGATCTAGTGAATGCTCTTCCCTGGCAGCATCAACTCCAGGACCTGGATTAATCATGATTAACCAAAGACCCTTCACATTTGTCCTGTGGCATCTGCAGTCATTTGCCCTGAATTTTTGTCACTTTGCCGCAGTTGGGATCCTTGCTAATGACAGCATTCAGCAAACGGACAGACTCATGTTTTTCATCTTCCCTGGGAGGGACAGTGTTTATCTGCAGAAGTATTTGACAGTTTTTCTGTCAAATTTGACAAACTGCCAAAATTTGACAATTTTTCTAATGACCAGTCTTCTGTGAATGGATATTTAGACTGTTTCTATTTCTGAGAGGGTCAACAAACACCCCAGTACACAGGCTCAATACCACATGGTTGAACTGCTAGGCCAAAGAGCACATGCCTTTCAAATTCAGAGAAACGTGGCAAATTAACTCTCCAGAAAAGATGGCATCAGTGTCCCATCCACTAGGCCTGTGTCCCACACACCAAGGCCAGAAGTGGGTATTATCAGACCTAACATTTGCCAATCTGATGGTACAAAATAGAATCTTTTTGGATGGATGTTTTGCTTTATGTTTCTTTAATTGGGAGGATCAGGGTCAGAATCTGTAGCCCTGGCTTTCTGAGAGGTGCTGTACAAATAATACCCACTGGCCAGGAATAAAGAGACCTGGCTTGCATACCCGCTTCTTGGCCTTGAGACCATGGGCAGGTCATCTGACCACTTCTCACCTGAGCCTCCTCATCTGCCGAAGTCTCTGCCTGGCCTGCTCCTGCCTCCTAGCATGCTAACCGTGTGGAAGTGGCAATTAAAAATCAGACAAGCCCCCGACCCCCTGCCGCCAAAAAAATGTCGGGGGTGATTTTGATGATGACAGCTAGGGCACAGCTACTTGGGGCCAGCTTAAAGGGATATGGTGAGGGTTGTTCCCCAACTCCAACCACTTCCATGTGTAAAGTTGTGGGGGAGATACATGGGTATGTCTGAGCGTGGGGGGAACAAGAGCTCAAACCGCTTAAAGAAAAAGCCATAGTGAGCTTCTCGGCCTGTTGGCTAAGATCAAGAACAAGCCATCGTGGCTTATCCCAGCCCAACAAGTGACACCTCTACTGCAGACTGTCCCTGAGTGATGTACCTCATGCGGCTCTTGTGAACAAAGGATTCTGTGGACAAGTTTGGCAAATGCTACAACTATATCCCCCGTTAAGAATTTTACAATGCCCATTTGCTGAAAAGCCTGGCAATTCATAAATGTTAAATTTTATTTAACCCAGAATTTCCGAAACTCTTGTTTGACTACAAAAGCTTTACTGTTTTTTCTCTTTCTTCTTCTTTTTTTTTAAAGATCATAGTCCAATGCAGCCTTGAACTCCTGGGCTCAAGTGATCCTCTCACCTCAGCCTCCTAAGCAGCTAGGATTACAGGTATGAGCCCCACGCCTTGCTTGACTATGGAGCCATTTTCATCTAACCATCATGAATATTATTTCTAAAGAATACATTTTTGGAAATGTCATATTAATACATTAAAAATGCATGTCTCAAATGTTCATAATTAGCTCTATTTTTGGTCTTTAAATTGTAGGCGCCAGATGTCCATGTATTAGGTGTTTGGTTTACTTTATGAAATTTCAGAGCCAGAGGAACAAACAAAAGATAAGGGAGTATGGGATCTGGCCCTGAGGAACTGATGCCCTACTGCCAGGGAAAGTCTCAGCTGACTTCTAGAACAGGATAAGGAAGAAAGATCAGCTCCGGGTAGGCCTGCACAGGGCCACACAGAGGCAGAACTCACCACACAAGAAGGCCACAGTGCGGAGGGTCTGCTGCATGAGGATCTGGGTGACTGGGGAGAGGTTATGGTGCGTGTAGTGCGACATCACGATGCCTGAGAACAGGATGGCCATGATGCCTAGAGAGGGAGAGAACAGAACAGAAAAGCACCTGCCGTGTGATCCCCAACTCAGATCTCACAATTCCTGAAAATCCCTGGAGCCTAGAGCTTTAGGCATTTTAAGAAAAAGGAATATAAACCTAAATTACAATTAAAAAAAAAAAAAGAAGAAGAACAAAAAGGAATATAAATGAATACCTGAGGCCTCCCAGAGGCTTCAGAAAAAACACCATGGGCCCCTTTTCTCTGGCAGTCTCATTACTAGCTGGATGATCTTGAGCCACATCATGTCCCCCATCAGAGCCTCAGTTTTCTCTTCTGTACAGTGGAACTAATAGTACTCACTCACAGAAGTGTTAGGCGGGTGAGCGAAAAGAAGCCATGTAAAGTCCCCTTCACAGTACCAGAGCTAAAGAGGTATGGATTAACACTGACATCCAGGGATAGGATTGGCAGATGTGGAACCTGTGGGTATGGAGGGCCCACTGCACTGCATCATTTTTTTTTTTTTTTTGAAACGGAGTTTTGCTCTTGTTGCCCAGGTTGGAGTGCAATAGTGCGATCTTGACTCACTGTAACCTCTGCCTCCCAGGTTCACGCGATTCTCCTGCCTCAGCCTCCTGAGGAGTTGGGACTACTACAAGCACACACTACCATGCCTGGCTAATTTTTTGTATTTTTAGTAGACACGAGGTTTCACCATGTTGGCCATGCTGGTCTCAGACTCCTAATCTCAGGTGATCCGCCTGTCTCGCCCTCCCAAAGTGCTGGTATTATAGGCGTGAGCCACCGTGCTGGCCAACTGCATCATTTTATATATGGGACTTGAGCACCTATGAGTTTTCTATCTGTGGGGCATCCTAGAGCTGATCCTCCATGGATGCTGGGGGAGGACTGCATAAGAGGAGCAAGTGAACCACTCTGGGGGCCAGAAAAGGAGTCTAAGAATCTGTGTATGGAGAATGTGTGGATTTTTTTTTTTTTTTTTTTTTTTTTGAGACAGGGTTTCACTCTATCACCCAGGCTGGAATATACGATATGATCACAGCTCATTCCAACCTCTGCCTCCTAGGCTCAAGCAATCCTCCCACCTCAGCTTCCCAAATAGCTGGGTTCACAGGCACACACCAATACACCTGGCTATTTTTTTGTATTTTTGTAGAGATGAGGTTTGCTATGCTGCCCAGGCTAGTCTCAAACTCCTGAGCTCAGGCAATCCACCCGCCTCAGCCTCCCAAAGTGCTGGTATTACAGGTGTGAGTCACTACACCCGGCCAAATGTTTGGATGTTGATTGACTTTTAAAATACATTTCCCTAACAATGAATTTTCCCATAATCATGTACTACTGTTATTTAAAAAGTAATGCATCTTTTCTTCAAAGCCCTGCATGAGAGCGTCTGCAGCGTTTGGTGTTTACGCAGGATTGGAGCCTCAGCGTTTGTCTGCTGCTCTCAGTCGCTCCTGGGGCACTCATGTTTCTTCTCAGTATCTCCCTGTGTGGGCAGCAGAAAAGGGGTCTCTATTTCATGTAATGAGGCTGAGGTTGTTTTAAAAAGTCAGCAAGCTGCCAAGATATACTAATTCCGAGTGTGTGTGTGTGTATACAGCTAGTACTCGACTTATGACCACGATTGGTTCCGACAGACCGGTCGTAACATGATTTGGTCGTAAGTTGAGTAGGCTACATGTACAGTACTGTGAAATGATGTTATAAAAATCTTTAAGTCATATTTTATCATAATTTTCTTTCATTATTGTTATATATCATAATTTTCTTTGTTCATTTTATGCCATTTGTATCATCTCTACACCATTTTATTTATTTTTACATTCGTCAGGTTTAAGTAAAACACTGCATTACCAGTAGTAAAGGTTGACCTGAATGCTTATTATGAAAGCATTCTTGTCCAATCTCATTTTTAAAAAGCCACCTTAACTTGTGGTAAAGGCGCAGCCTTGTGTAAAACTGTGGAATATTCACAGATCACTGAACCACGATGGTCTATGGTTTGAAGTGAAAAACCACGGCACATGATGAGTTTTGAAAAGCAGAAGAGTATGAACTATGTTAAGTCTTAGGGTTAAAAAGGACTAGTTACCAGGTATTTATGTATTATCACTGCAAATAGAAAAGTAAATCATCACAATTTTATGTGACTTTCCATGGGATACAAATATGTAGCATTCATCATAAAAGATGTCATCTGGATATCTTGTTCAAATATAATTTAAACTTAGTATGTTCTAATATTGTTAAAGATATAGGGATATAAACCACTCACATTTTAGTAAGAAAGGCAAGAAAATGACTAATAATGATGATATAGCATATATGTTTACTGTCCCGCACTGTCGTACGCCCAGCTGGGCAGCGTTTGCACTGCCAGACGCGGAGCAGTCGTGGCTAGTGATTGTGGTCGTAAAGTCGAATGGTCGTAAGTCGATCAATACCTGTGTGTGTGTGTGTGTGTGTGTGTGTGTGTGTGTATATATATATATAAATAAATCCCAATCCTTACTTTAGTTTCTGTTTCATTCCATCTCAATAATGGTACCTGGCCTTTCATATATAGAATACTATTTTCTTAAATGAATTTTTATTTAAATAAGATAGCATAAATTATATGTATCTCTATGAAAAAACAAAACAAAACAAAACTAGTCAGTGTGGTGGCACGTGCCTGTAGTGCCAGCTACTCAGGAGGCTGAGATGGATGGATCACCTAAGCCTGGGGAGGTCAAGGCTGCAGTGAGTTGTGATTCTGCCACTGCGCTCCAGCCTGGCCAACAGAGCATGATCCTGTCTCAAAAAATAAAATTAAAATATAATTAAAATAAAGTAATAAACACGATCCTATCACATATATGGTGCCTATTACCAGCAGAGTGATTTTTTTCAAGGGCTTTCAACTCTCTTGTCATGGTGCATCTAACAGAACCCCAGCTCCTGCCCAGGCCCTACCAAGCCTGCAAGGCAGTGTCCTTGCCTGCTCTGTTCTGGCCACACTGGTCTTCCTTCTCTTCCCGGAGCATGCCACACTCCCACACATCTATCTTCGGACCCTCCAGAACCTCCTTCCCTAGAGCATCTCTGGGCTGGATCCTGTCACCACACAGGTCTAGGCTCCAGGGCCACCTCCAGGAGAGACCTCCCTGGCTGCCTGAGCCCCAGTACATCCTCTACCGCATGCCACTCTCTGCCACATGGATTTGATTTCTCGTCATTTCTTGCCACCTGGAATTGTTGTATGGGTTTGCATACATTCTGGCTGACTTTCTTCTGCAGGAAAAGGAACCTGATCTTGTATTGTTTATTACTGTAGCCCCAGTAGCAAGGATAGTTCTCAGCATAGGGTGGGCATTTAATAAATATTTCTTGAATGGGTAAGAAATCGATTTTTCGGCCAGGTGCAGTGGCTCATGCCTGTAATTCCAGCACTTCGGGAGGCTGAGGCAGGCAGATCATGAGGTCAAAAGACTGAAACCATCCTGGCCAACATGGTGAAACCCCGTCTCTACTAAAAAACACAAAAATTAGCTGGGTGTGGTGGCGTGCACCTGTAGTCCCAGCTACTCAGGAGGCTGAGGCAGGAGAACTGCTTGAACCTGGGAGGTGGAGATTGCAGTGAGCTGAGATTGCGCCACTGCACTCCAGCCTGGCACCTGGTGACAGAACAAGACTCTGTCTCAAAAAAAAAAAAAAAAGAAAGAAAGAAATTGATTTTTCAACTTACTTTAAAAAAATTTAACACTATGTCAAATTCTTTCCATGGGTAGTACAAACAGGTCAAGTTCATTTCTGAAGTGACTGCACAGGACTCCAAAGTGCAAATGGACTGGAATTTAATCTTTTCCATTACTAATGAACATTTAGTTCCTTCCAATTTTTCTCTCTCAAGCAGTGCTGCAATGGAATTCCTTAGATATCAATGCATAAGAGCACTTCAGTGTACATTCCATCTTTGGCCAACTTTATGCCAATATCTTAAGAAAGCGTTATGTCATGATTAATCTTACAAACTCATCCTTCAAGCCCAAAGTCCCCTCCTCTGACTCGCCTTGACAGAGTGTCACTGTCCCGTCCCCTGTAAGCCCAGTGTTTGCTAACTGCCCTGCATAAGTGGGGTCTATTCACCTCTGAATCTTTAGTGTCAGAGGCCAAAGTGGCCCTCAAAACTGGCTTGACTGAACAATAAAAATAGTTAACATGGATACAATTAGAACGAATATTCTGAGAATAGCTAAAGCTTGCTGAGTAATGATTAGGGAGACTATTTGATTTGCTGTGGATACCAGGACATTTTTTAGAATAAAAGGGGATATTGGCCGGGCGCGGTGGCTCATGCCTATAATTCCAGCACTTTGGGAGGCCGAGGCGGGTGGATCACGCGGTCAAGAGATCGAGACCATCCTGGTCAACATGGTGAAACCCCGTCTCTACTAAAACTACAAAAAATTAGCTGGGCATGGTGGCGCGTGCCTGTAATCCCAGCTGCTCAGGAGGCTGAGGCAGGAGAATTGCCTGAACCTAGGAGGCGGAGGTTACGGTGAGCCGAGATTGCGCCATTGCACTCCAGCCTGGGTAACAAGAGCGAAACTCTGTCTCAAAAAAAAAAAAAAGGGGGATATTATTCATTCATCATGTTGAGACAACAGCAAAACTGGGGGTCTCGGAGCAAACCAGGACTTATGGCCACCCCAGCAGTAGCACAGATGCCCCATCAGAACTGTCACTTGCATCACTTTCATT